GCCCAGAACCATGGGTTTGCGCCAGATGTGGTCACGTTTGGTGTAAACCCCCTCCAAAACAACCAAAAATGACCCCATCTGGCCCAAACCCAGGTTCTGGGCCCGAGAACCTGGGTTTGGGCCAGATGTGGTCATTTTGGGTGTTTTGGTTCCGAAATCACTCCACTCCTAGGACAAAAGTGATTTCGGAGCATTTGTTGGGAAATTCCTTTAGAAAAAATCCAAAATCGCTCCGAAATCACTCCTTTCCTAGGAGTGGAATGATTTTGGAATGATTTTGGAATGATTTCGTAATGATTTCGGAGTGATTTTGGAATGATTTTGGAGTGATTTTGGAATGATTTCGGAAAAAATTTGTAATGATTTTCGAGATTTCCTCAAAAATCATTCCCAAATCACTCCGAAATCACTCCTTTCCTAGGAGTGGAGTGATTTCGGAATGTTTTTGGAATGATTTCGGAATGATTCGCCGAAGTGTTTTTTTGAGCGGTTTTTGGAGTGGAGCTTTTTCGGAGTGATTTCGGAGTGATTCGTCGGAATGTTTTGTGGAGTGGTTTTTGGAGTGGAGCGATTTCGGAGTGATTTCGGAATCATTTGTCGGAGTGCTTTTTTTTGGAGTGGTTTTTGGAGTGGAGCGATTTCGGAGTCATTCTTTGGAATGACTTCGGAGTGGTTTTTGGAGTGAGTGATGATTTTGGGAGTGATTTTTGTAGGTGTGTCTAACTGGCCACTTCTCCCGCAAGTCACCAGCTTCGGACCGAAACACTGGACTTGGGTCAGATGTGTGCCTCTGGCTAGCATCCTGACAAAAAGCCAAGACATCCAACGAATCTTACTGTCCCTCATGTATGCCATAATCCAGTAGGCCATGGGAAAGAAACATTGCAAAGCGAGCTCACAGACGAGCTAGCTCTGAAAACCCATTGCAAAACGAGCTCACACAAGAGCTAGCTTTGGAAACCTTATTGAAAAACCACTATCCCAAATCACTGCGGAATAGCTCCAGAAACACTAAAACACCTTTTCATCATGGGCACAGTGGCTACCACAAATGGAAGTCACAAGCCTCATCCCTGCTATTTGTTCTACACTGAAAAATGCTGTGCAAGTTTTACGTTCAGAGCCATACAGCTATGAAGAAAACACGCTTCATATGAATAGGGGTGGCTACCACAAAACTGGCCAGGTGATTGCAGTGTCGTATCCTTGCTGCATCCACACTTTGTGGGGCAGGACCAGCATGCAGCATCAACAGAAAGATTTTAACAGGAAATGCTTTGGGAATGATTTTGGGACAGCTCCTTGTTCTGAAGCAGCGAGGTAAGCCTTTTTAACGTGACTTTCCACTGCTGGCTTTGCGTCGCTTGGCGAACTCAATCCAGCGCTGGATGACCGGGTGCACCAACAACTTCTCGAGACCTTGTCTGGATTTCAGCCGCAAGTAACACTTTGGTCAGCAACGATTTCCACAAGCGCTGCTACACCTGTGGTGATTAAAGTTCGTGATGGACTACGCGTTGCACATGGTGCCTTTTAACTCAAGAATCCTCAGGGGGGTCTCCATATAAGGGGGCCCAGAACTAAGCCCTTGAAAGCCATTGCAGGTGATGTCACTAAACTGGTCTCTTAAACCCTCTTGTAACATTCCCATAAGGTGCAGAGGTTCCGAAAGCCCGGGTCTTGTAGAAGCATGAGCATGATGGCATTGCTTTACAGCTTGTAGGTGCGCACCGTAGATTACCTCGATGCTCTCCTTGCACTGACAAAAGCACTTTGGAGTTATTCCGGATGGCTCTGCGTTGGGCCTTGATACTGAGGTCCCCTACACAGGCTCTGTCACCGGAGTACCTTCAATTTTCGGAAGCTCTATTTTATGCCTTGACCACCTAAGCACAACCTTCACCAAGCAGAGCAAGCGGCTGTTGTACTCAGCAGCAAGCACTTCATTGCTTGCGATGCCTCATGTTCCAATGAGAAACTCGCACCAGTTGCTGGTGAAATGGAAGCTCTTGCCGGCTGCGTTGCTTCATCATAATGAGCAGGCATGATAGCAGCTTTCAATTTCCTAGCAAAAACGAGATCACAGAATAAACAAGGATAACCATCAAGCTATTTTGCCTACCCTACAAACTGATGCCGAGGAGCTGTGCACCGTGTTGTGGCACTGCCGGCAGATCATGAGCCCGTACCTCGAGGTTGCATGCCATAAAACATCCCCAGAGCCGCAAGGCACAGCAGCATGTCAGTTTATGGGTCCCTGACCCATATCACAGCAGCCTAAATCTACTTGTTGCCAAAACAGTACGGAATGGGAACTTCTCGATTAATGTCGGACATGGACTCCCTGTTGGTGGGCAGGACGTTGCGACTTGGAAGGTCCTGAAACCTACGCCGACAAACTACATCCTGAAGCGGCACGCCAAACATTTCCAATCCTCGGTCCAGGACTATTGAGGTTGTATGCAACTGTGAACTACCTTGACAATTCTGGGATCGAGGGGTACGCAGGATCAGAAGGCCATCTCTAGACGCAGGGTTCAGCAGCAAGCTTTCTGATATGCTAGCATGGTAAACGAATATAATTATACATGCAATCTGAGCCAAGACTTGTTTCTGACGCCAAAGTCTCCTGACGAAGGCTCATATGAAATGGGGCTGACCTTGGACTCCTACGTCCCTCGAAAAAACCAAAACGAAACCATGGCAGAAATGGTACTTCCTGTCACCTCTAGATGCTGCAATAGGCCTCGAAATGGGAATGAGCCCAGAAGACTAGAGCAACATCGACAGCTGTGGCACGTATTCAGGAAAGATCGAGTTGGCTCGCCTAGGTTTTCCCAAAACGCGCTCAAGGGCTCAAACAGGTAGGGGCTATCAGCCGAGGCAGAGCTTGGAGGGCTTTGGCTGACAAATGAGCTCCAAGCCCTCAACGCCATTTGGCAATCGCTTGCCAAGGTAGGTGGGGTGCTTGTCCTGTCAGTCCATTCGCAGAAGCTGCCGTTGACTTTGCGCGTGCCACTGCTTCACTTACGTGTCTTAGGTGCCATCTTGATATGGCAAATGCCCGAGTGGCTTCTCATTTAAAACAACCGCTTAGACAGAACGACATGCATCTGCCCCTGGCAGGAAGTCAAGACGTGCGCGCCAGCAGATCTGAATTGCAATTTCAGCCTCTAGGTGAGAGGTGATACGTGCCACCTTGCGAAACGTTGACCTAAACTTAAACCACGGAAGTAGTAGCCTCATGTTTCCAAGATTCTGCACGTGAGTTCTTTCAGCTGCAACGAGGTCGACCTTATTGTACGGTCAGTAAATCCTCAAAAAAAGATCCTCTCATTTTCTATATTCCTTTCCAACAAGGGCCAGGAGCTATCCTAAGGACTGCTGCTCGTAACATCTCACAGAAGCCCCGAGTTTTTTGAAATTTTGCGCCATGTGTTTCCAGACCCCAGCGGAACACTACTCGTTTTGAAGTAATGAGAGTCTTAGAGGCCCTGAGATTCTTTCGAAGACTGCCATCCTGCTGCGAGGCCAACAGGAGGCTTCATCTTTGTTTGGGGGAAGGTGCGATTCCCACGTAATCCCTACACAACCTCTATGACACTTCATTTTCTATACATGTGTATCTATATATATATATATATATAGATAACAATGACTCTGTTGAGAACCCGTGCAACATTCCACAGCTTTTAAGCCTTGGGGATCAAGTGGTGGAACGTCAGCTTAAGATCACGCTCGCACATCTGGCCTGGGTAGGTAGGTGCACTTCAAAACACCAATCACGGGCCTTCTCAAAAAGAGGCACCAGATGGGATTCCAGGGATACATGAGGCTTGTGGGTAAAATGTGGGGGTCCTCCTTCAGGATTCGACAGGGAGAATCTTGAGAAATGCCCATCTGACGGGAAATGTACGGGGGTAGGTAAGGATTTTGTTGGAATCTTTTGGGGATTCTGAGTAAGCATAATACGGAATGCCAGTCAAATGTCTAGAGTCTAGAAGTAACTACGGGGAAGTTGGAATTACAACCTGGAGTTAAGTTGAATGCTTTCCTGGCTGGCATGTGGTATCAAGTGGTGGCATCTCAAAGACGGGCACCCCACATGTACCCCCAATCTGGGACTCCTTGTCTGAGGAGCTTAGAAGAAAAGCCTTGCGAAGATCATGATTATGATCTTCTGGGTTGCTGCTAAGGAACTTAAACTAAATTACTATATTGGGGAAACCCTATTATTTACTATATATACCCATTATGGTAACTTAATTTAAATTCCTTAACAGCAACCCAGTCTTTGCTGAGCAGATGCTCTGAGGTTAGAATTGTCTATCACAGTAAAACATATCCTAAACCCTGGCATTCAAGGTGCGGAGCGCCGTGAGGATGCAGGGGTACATGGGAACAAATGGAACAAGCTCCAGGCTGATGACAAGTTGATGATGTGCTCTTTTAGACAGTCTCTGTTGTAAGGAACATTCAAACCACAAAGACTTGCCTGTAAGATGCAGATTTGCTAAGGCGACGCAGGTGGCATCTGCACTCTTCACCAAGCTTGTACATGTTACTGAGCTCCCTGCATTCGCCCTCGCCGGCATCTCCCTCGTCTGCAACTTCCGTCAGTGCACGGATCTCTTCCTCGCTGGCCTCCTGACACATGGAGTCAAAGCTTTGGTTGATGATGAATGTAGAACGCAAGGCTCAACGCGCCGTAGCCCTGGCCCTTAGTTGAAGAACTTTTCGTTCTTCGACTGGTCATGCACGTAGCAGCCACCGTATTGTCAAGGGTGCTGAGGCTAGGTTCCACTGCACAGAGCTGTTAAACCTGCAAGTGCGACGTCCCGCCAAGGAACTCTAACGTCAAAGGCTTGAAATTTTAGCAGCTTCAGTCCTCTGGAAAATAGATGCACATGCATGGCAATGAAACAATTCTGCACCAGCAACATGGTACATGCTCCAGTGTTGGAGGTGTGGGGGGGGGGGTTCAGAATACGGGGCAGGTATAAAGCACAAACAGCACTCACACGATCTCGTGGACTCCTGCGGCTTGCCGTACCTCCGGCCAAGGGAAATCCTGTCTAGCCATGCAGCGCGTGCGCTCTGACACACCCGTGGAACTCCTCCAAGTACGAGGCTTGTAGAAACCCTAGTGTGGACTGCAAAGGGATTAGGGGAATTTCATTTGAGGATTCTACCCTGATAGTTTTGAGGGTGGCAACACAATGGATGCGACGTCCGAATTTCCTGAGAAGCCTGCTCTGCTGAAGGAGTCCATCACATAGCAGTAGCATCTGCAGTCTGTGGAGGATGTCCAGCTGCTGGGATGATTGTAGCTTTAACTTTCAGGAACTGACCCAACTTTCTGCTTTTAATCTGCAGGGGGCACTCGATGAAAATCAGCTTCAAACGCCCGCTGGGCAGAATCGCCTCCACCACAGCAGGGTGCCATTCCTGGCTCTGGCATCCAGGAAGTCCACTTAGGCTGAGCTCAGGGGAATGAATGCATGCAAAGGCCTACGTGAGTTAGCTAGAAAATGACCTTACAGACGCCGCTTCGGCTTGTTGGCTTCCTCTCTGGGTTCTGTCGCAGCAACTGTGTGCCCATTTGCTATCTACCATAGATTCTAGGAATTGATACCCGGCCCTGCATGGGGTTATACAAGATACGCTGTGGTTCTGTCGCATGCTCATCAGTAAAAGAGACGCTGTCTGGCGTCTCACTACCTGCAGCTGAGGAATTCAGACCCATGGCAAGCGCAAAGCAGTAGGCCACAGAACCACTTGCTGAAAAGTGTTCATACTGCCCTACTATGGATCAGGCTGCCCAGTAGCTGTGTTTTTTAAGCACCTGCCGAAATGCATACCAGCATCACTGTGTGATGAGAGCCCCCACTGCCCGTTTTAGATAACTCTGCCTCTTGTTGTCAACAACCTCCTATCAACTTTATAGACAGCCTTGCTGTCTTTACATCGTCGCCACCTACATCACTATTGCTCTGGGAACTGCAAGTAGACATGTTGCCATCTCCCCGCTTCTGCCCGCATTTCCTCACGAGACCAAAGCAAAACCTAGGGTGATGCGGGTGAGGATCTGGGTGCACAGGTCCTGCGAATCGGAATGGTTTTCAATGATTCGTTCAGAAGGTGCTCTGAGAGAATTCACATACTTCCACCGTCGGAGTCTGCGGAATCCTTGTGGACCTCAACATGAGATACGAGCAAGCCCCAGACTACATGCTGACTCATCTACCCACCATCCCAAGACCTCTACATTTACTTCCTGAAGATCTCTCAACCGCCTTCCGCAAAAGGCCAATCTAGTCACGGCCCGTCTTGGCAGCTCCCGAATCTCAATGACTACCGGGCCCCTTGCTAAATAGGAGTCTCTCAAAATTGAGGTCCCAAAGGGCCTTGGACACACATCGGGGTTCGCAGAAAATAGCCGGGCTCCGTTTTAAGGATTGTCCAAAAAACACCATCCAAACCATGATGGCCGCCCCTGCCCTGAACCAGAAGCTCCTCGCCTGGTCCTCAGGCAAGAAGCCCCAAACAGGATCACCAACTTCCGATCTCTTCTGCCTGCCATGGAAGCGCCATGCAAGGAATTTGAGGGCTCCCTTGAAGAACTTTTCGTGACATGTAGGGACTGTACCAGGAATATAGGGGCACCCCTGTCATGTACGGATCGTTTTGGGATGTTCCCAAATCTTGACCCCAAAGATCCCTGCTTCTTCCAATGACAGCCTGGGCCTGTTTACCATGCAAAGGCGCTGAAATCAATGCTAGGTTCCTGAATACCCTGTCAAGGCCATCTGGGCCACTGGGATGATTGCCAAAGTGCTTCGCGCACTACCGCATCTGAAGCCATGCCAAGCCTGCGTCTATCACACTTTGCGTGGTTCACTTACTCCCTGAAATCCGCAAAAGGAGTTACCCTCCGGAAAGGCAGTCCCTCGTGTCTTTCAACAAACTCCCCAAATGCCTACTTCTTCTGAGATCTCTTTGCTTGCGATTCTGCTAATGGCTGGTTTTTCATGGTTGCACCATGCCTGGCTTGCAGAAGCCCGTGCTTCACCAGCTGAACCACCGCCTGGCCCAGGAGGACTTGTAGTCCAGGCTGGCACTGAGTGCAGTGCCGAAACATTTTGATGCCTAATTATTGGGCTGGCGAAGTCTGAGTCACTCTCTTGTGCTCTGTAACCTTCTGTCAACAAAGGCTTGAAACAAACAATGCCAATGAGCCAGTGTTGGTTGGTGCTCGGGTATACTGCGGCAGCTGCATGGCGTTGCAACCGCTCATTGCAGACTATGGCGGCATCATGAGTGCTTTTGCGGCAAGTTCCGATCCTACCCCTTTGAGTCAGCCAAGCAAGCCCGCGCCTTCTCCGCCACAGTCGCTAAACTTTCATCTTCGTCCAGAGACGCAGCAACTCCAGCTTCCTATGTTTAGCCTTAAGAACTATAGGGTCTGGAGATGAAGGTTAGGGTTTAGGGATTCAGGCTCAGGGGTCATGGATTTGGGTTTTAGCAATCAGGATGGCCTTCTCATGCTTGAGTGGGTAAGCTTTAGAAGGGGGACTGCGTAGGGGGCTGCTACAGGGATCCATCCATTCCCCCATCGTCAAGTAACCATGGGTAAGGTGAGAAACTTGAAGATCGCAGAATTTCTTGGCTGGAAGAAAGGCCCCCAGGTCATATTCTATCTACTTCAGGGGGACCCTAAACCCTAAATACTAGTTTCCGTTTTCTTTTCCATTCTCCCTATATAACCCCAATAATGACCCCTACATACCCCCTTTAAAGAGGTCCTCCATGGAGTTCAAGAGGAGCGAGGTCCAGGCTTTCAAAGCATCGGGCTGCTGGTCCTTGCGCTGCGGCTGAAGGAACGAAGGCGTTCGCCAGGATAGCCAGGCTCTAATTGATGGCTTCCGCACTGCCACCACCATCCCAAGAGTTACTCAAGTCCATTGCAATTCAACCACTTTTGTCCAGCAGAACCCCATGGCCAGTTTCGGCGGGGTAGCAGGCATAGTAGCACTAGCAGTGGGAGTAGCAGGGGAGCTGTAGTAGTGGCAGTATCTATAGTGGCATCACCATCACCACCACCAACAATGAGAACATGCATCGCATGGATGATAATCAGAGTTGCTAGACATTGAGCAAGCCTACAACAGGGTCATCGCCTGCCTCGGCATAGGCCAGGAAGGAAGCAGCCAGGATGGCAGTGCTTTCGGTGGCCTGGATGCCCAAGAAATGTTAGCACCCAAAATTGCAGGTGCTCTTCTCCTGAAGTGCAGTTTGGCAGTTGTTGTTGCACACCCTCGTTGCTAATGAGCCCTAACAGAACAGTGACTAATTGGCTTTTCTGTTTCAAGTGCCGTGATGGTGCCCAGTGTGCTGTCCATTTACAACGTGAAAGCCCATGCCTAGCGCTCCATATGCTTGACCTCAACCTTCCCAGCCTGGGAGTTGGCGAAGGTGCTGGGGCAAGCATGTGACAAACAACCCAAATACTCTTGTGTAAGGGCCTTTGTAGGAATCCATTCTGCCATTCCCAACTAAGAAGTAACACAGGACTCTTACTGCAACCACCCGGGAAACCATACAGGGAGCTGAAGATCGGGTGTCTACGGATTCTAGAAAGATTCATGGGCGGCAAATGCGGAACTTTACATCAGCGCACCCCAGCAAACGGAAGAGTGTTGCTGTTCTTGCAGCCAATCCTAGCAGCAAGGCCCTGCAAAGCCCCAGCTCTCCATAATTTTCAAGATGTCTGGAAACAAGGCCCCTCTTCACACTTCTATGAGCTGTTTTCAAAAGCTGGGATCTTGCTTGCACGACAAAAACTACATGAAGCCTGCAATCACGAACACGTCTCTAGTATCTCTTTACGCACGTATATTTCTCATGGGTTTTAACAGCGGCGTGAGAGAAAGAGCGCTTTTAGATATATCCAAGACAAGACCTCAAGAGTAGACTGTGCAAGATGCAAAAGACATCGTGGGGAAGCAGGCCTCCTTGCTCCAACTTCGGAGCTCCACGCAGCTTCTCAAAGCCTCCAAAACAAGCACATGTGTTCGTTGGTGGCGTGTGGGAGGCAATCTTGTTTCTAACCGGCCGTCCTTTTAAAGTGATCAAAAAACGATAACAAGGCTATGAATATGGCAATGCCGATCAGGTTACTTGTCCAATATGCCCATCGTGCTAGCAAAAACCCAAATGGGTGACTAGTGTTATTACCGTGTTTGTGGCGTTTGCTGTCATCTATCACTTCTCAGTATGCTTCTTCTTCTTCTTCTACTGGCCCTTTTCCTCTTTGCAGCTGATGTACTTCTCCCGAAGCAGACCGCAGTTCCTGTAGCCTTTGCCACACATGCTGACATATATTATAACTAGTTTCATGCAACAGTTAATACCTCAGTAGACTGCAGGTTCGCGAACATTTCCGGTATCCGAATATGGCAATGCTTCCCCAAGGCAAGCAAACACAAAGTCCCTGCGAACTGGGAAGTGCTCGATCCACACCTCTTTGTTGGAAGCATGTGGGCTTTTTTCTTACATAAAGTCCTCTTGTTGACAGAGACCCAGCGGAGGTATCGTCACCTTGGCAATCTCTGAAGCTCCATCATCAGCGACTTTGAGCTCCAGGCTCGCTCCTCACAAAGCAGACCCCAAATACAGCCGAATTAGGCCCATTAAACACCTTTTGGGGGAGGGAGAGTCAGGGTGTGGAGCCGAGGGTCACTTCTCAGAGCTTTTCACAACAGGTCCTTCTGACCTTCCAGCTTATGAAGTTTGGGGCAGGGCAGAAAAAAGCCATGAACTGCTCAACGTTCGTTGGGCCTCAAAATGGAGACTCTGATTTAAACAGCCCAGACGGAAAGAACAATGAGCATGATGTATGCTCTTGACGCCTCAGGGCAATGGAAGGCTCTGTTTTACCACCTTCACCAGATTCTTCTGCCTTGAAAGTGCACTTGGCGAGGGTCAACATTAGGCGGCTCGAAGTTGATTCATCGACGTTGGCAACTGAGAAGACAGCCTCGAAAGCTAGAGGCAGCAGTGAGAAGCAGTGAAGGAGCTAGCCAGTGACAGGGCTGAGTTGCTGAGCAACAGCTTTCGAATGAAACGGCCCCCCCCATCAATCAATTTCTTTGAGGGAGTCAATCTTTAAGGGGGTCCTCGCCCCTCCGAAATCCTTGACAACTGACCAAACTCCTCAAAAATTGACCTTTCACCGACCCAGAGAGCCGCAAACAAGAACTACCGCAAGCCCAGAGAGCTAGCTTTCGTGATTTGTACACGTGCAGCAAAATGTGCGACAGACCTTCCCAAGCAAGAACTTTAGTGGCTGCCACTCCCACACGACATTTTCTCAAGGCAATCCCAATTCAATCCTTAATGGGAACCCCTGCATTGTTAACATCCGCATATTATCTTGGCGCTGCCAAACCCTAAAGCCCTCATCCCAAAAGACCTCAGCTTGAAAACTGCAACGTCCTGGCGCCAACGCAGCGGCTTCGGCAGCCGCCTCCAGGCTTCATTGCATCTCTGGCAGGCCCTTTTAAAGGGGTTAATCGGGGTTATATCAGGCGATGTATGGGGACATGTAGCGTTCTTTTTTAAAGCATGTAGGGCTTGATGGTCCCCAGTGCAGCCCCAAACACAAACAATCTGCCTGAAGAGGCGTCGCATGTTCCGCCAAGAGGATGAAAAGGTCATATGATACAACGAAGAGAAGGCCTGATTCTTCCTTGCTAATGTCGCTCTTTCTTTCTTCACTCGGAGCGCTACGAAGGCAGCAGCTAGAGTCCCCTTACAGTCTGTTATAGGACTAGTATCGTATGGGAACCTCCCAGAAGGACCGCAATGTTGAGAAACCTGGAGTACCCTAAACCCTAATAAGAGAAAACCGCCAAATCCTGAATCCCAAGCCTGAAACCCTAAAATCTAAATCCTCAAGTCTTAGCTTTAGAGCCTGATCCTAACCCATAAGCCTTGGACGTCGAAGCGCGGGATGTGCACGCTCACGCAACTCATAAGCCTATAAACCCTGAAACTACTTGGGGGCTAGTAAGGAATGACGGAATGTAATATATAGGGTTTATAGAAGGAGTATATTCCAGTATTAGTATTAGTAGTAGTAGAAGTAGTAGTAGAAGTAGTAGTAGTAGTCGTCGTCGTCGTCGTAGTAGTGGTGGCAGTAGTAGTGGTAATAGTACTAGCATTGGACATGAGGCTGTCGGGCCTGGGCTGCTTTTCGTGCAGCGGCTCCGCGGCGGGGAGCACTGGATGACGTCTCCTATCTAGGGGCCTTCAAATAGGGATCAAAATGGATCGGGGTTTGATGTTTAGGGGCTTCTGAAAATGGGGCACGCTTCGCGACCAAAGAGAATTTGGGATTTCTCTCTACTCAAGAACGTCCCAATTAGAGATTCTGTGAGGATAATTTTGAGGAAATCAACAAGCGAGGCAGACGCCCTAAGAAACTGAAAGAGGGCCTCCTTCAAAGGGGATGAGAAGGGCACTCAAGAGCTCAGAGGGTCTTGCCCGATCGCTAAGAGGCATTGGAGGAGCGAATGCCTGTAATGCTTTCTGTATATTGGCCATGTCAAATCCCCTGTGCGGAAAAATAGCATGTAGGCCCATGGCTTTACCTTCGTGCCATGCAGGTATTGGGAAACAGAGATTTTTGAATAAAAACATCTATTTATGCGACATATAAGATGTTACGAGATTGTGCAAAGCTGACAAAGCCAAGCAGAATCAGGAGGTGAAGTGGTCATGCAAGAATTTACAGCAATGATTTAAACTACTTTTCTTGCCAGCACCCGTTTCTTGAGATGAGGTTGACGAATTTTTCGGCGGTATGCAAGATCTGTCTGGCAACTTTCTAAAAATGTTCACCATATAATCCTTGAAGGGTACCCAAATAATCCCTACCGAAGCTCTACATTTCCAAGAGTCCCTAGGCAACCCTGTTTTGAAAAGACCCTGTCTTCTGTGGGCCAAGGTGCCTCCTTTTGCGGCCGTGCCTCCACAACTTTCTCAACATCCTGGCAGTTTGTCCGTTTACGCTAGCCCAAACCCCTGATTAAGAAACCCCCTCCCCTTAATAGGGATTATAATAGGGGTCCTAATGTTTAGGCCCTTAATCATGGGTTTACGCTAGTAGAAGTTTCCATGTTAGTTTGGGTCACGGTGTCTACCAAAAATATGCTGAACATCCTGCCTGCTTGTTGGGCCCCTCTACAAAAACTAACGGGGGGAGTTTCTACCACCAAGCAAGATCATTTCTCCTTCAAAAATACTGTCACCATACAGGCACCCTACAAAGCCTACTGTCCATGTGAAACATGCATGTATGGTTGCCACGCTATTTTGGGCGCATCTATCAAAATGAGGCTTCCTTTGGAAACCACTGCAGATTTGAGCATCCTGCTTCCAGGAACTCTGACAGAACACCAGTGCTTTCTTGAGCCGCCCCACCTCGTGCTTCTTTGGTCCCTGACCGTTCTAATGGCGAAAAACCCAATTTGGGTGTCATTGTGGATAGAAAATACGATATCCATCGGTCACGTAACCGAATCCTGCTGGGATCCCCAAATGCCATCTCGAGCAATACCCAACGCATTCTAAACGCGACGTTCCCAAAGCTATCCGAAATTAGACTTTTAGGATTTTCTGAAATCAAGCCGTGTAGAAGCCTCAACGGAAACGCACGTACTCACATCACACTCTTGTACTGCCCATGTATCCTACAGTAACTGAGCGTCCGAATTCTAAGCTTTTTCGAACTCTTGACGCTACGGATATGCTGAGAGTACAAAAGCATGATGGAAGTCTACTAAGGATTCTATAATGCCGGTCTTGAGAAAGTGCCTCTTGAGGCACTTCGCAGAGTGATCCCAAGGCCCGCGGAGGGGGTGCAGCTGCAGCGTAACCACCGGTCACTGGCCTTGCTTTGGAGTCAGGTCATGTGTGTACCTACAATGCTGAACTATGCCTCCTGATTTGGTCATACCTATGGAAGTGAAAGGAACCAATGCGAAAGGGAGTGGAGGCCACAAATAATTCTCTGAATGCGCAGGACAGCTGACTCCACCTGGCGGATTTAACTTTGGACCAGACAGGACAAGACCCAAGACATAAACATGCTATAGCTTATGGCCTTATAGCTGTTATAGACAGCGCTAGCGTTGCATAAATTGCACGCAACTGGGAGCTTTTCCAAAAAACAATACGCAATCCCAAGTAGGGACCCCGTCAACCCCTGGTGGTCCCACATATCCCCCCTACAGTTTGGAAACCCAGTGGGTGCGGGGGATCAATCTTTGGGACTTGCCTGGTGCTTACTTGGCCGTCATGATCTGGTTCGCTTTAATCCCATGTCCAAGTGACGTGGGGATTTCAAATGTTTGCTCAGCTGGTTGGTGGCTCCCTTGCACGATGGTAACAGGATCCCAGGATGTTCTCACTGCCTAGGTGCACTTGATTTTGATTTCATGAAGCTCTAACACATGCAATTAAAGAAGCACTAGTTGCTGTCATGGAAACAATCATGTGATCACCACTGTAGTGCCGATGATAGATGCAGCTCTACACGGCTGCTGTTATCACCAAAATGCAGTTGCCAAATCGCAAGCGACCCGCACATAGTACCAGGACCCCGGCACATCCGCAGCAGTGTGCGTGCCTATGGCGAAGCGCTTGCACAGGGCTGCTGCCTGCACTCAAGGTAACAAAAGGACTTTGTTTACCCGCGCCCCTATAACAGGTGCGGTATGCCAGTTACATGGTCTTTATGGGGGTTTGGGTGACCAAAGTGTCCGTGTTACGAGAGGCAGAAGGGCAGAGAGGGCACTGATTCCATCAGCTGTGGAAGCTGCAGAAGCAATTGAGCAATGATTTTGCTCCTTGGTAATCCGGAAGTGTTCTTGGCAGGTCTGCTGCTAGGTTGCCGTTAATGTGCCTGAACTCATTCACCCGTCACATACATACAGAGTAAATACGATGGCTTCCTATAGTAGCCTACCGCAAGCTGTTTAGGGCGGTTTTCAACAATGAGGGTATCTGGAAGTTCCTCTAAACAGGACACTAGAATTTGTTGTTCTGCCTGAGGGACTTCACTTTTTTGAGCACCCATATCCACGCCAAAGTGACTTAATGAACTTCCTAGTTATCAGTAGGGAATAAAGGAACAAGACAAAATCTACTGGAAGGCATCCATTACGATCAGGATTCACTCTTCCATCCCCTGCCAAGCCCTCAATCCCAACTGATGCCTAGTAGCTTGCATTTTCTCTGCCTTTCCCCCATCTTCACGCTTAACACCAGAAACCCGGACCCCCAAACCCTAAGGCCTGAAGATGACGGCGACGATTGCTATGACTATTACTACTATCATTGCGATTATTTCCAAAACCTCAGCCTTACGTTGCCTCCACTTCGCCCCCGAGACCGGCATCCGACAAAAAGGGCGCCAAGACCTTCAAACGGTTCTACTTAGTGGTCTTACCCCGATAACAGAGCAACGCATGCAAACGATAATCGGAATCAAAATGGCAACTGGGGTTTTGTTGGGGTTTATGGCTTATGGCGGTTATGTGTACTGCTTAGGCTCTCCCCAAGATAACATGGAAGCCCAAATGGTTGCGTTCCGCACGAGAACAATCTTTATAGTAGCAAGGTCTAAGGCGTAGATCTTATGTTTCCGGATTTACGGCTGAGGGGTTGCGGAGCTTCAGGCGCATTCTTGGGGTTATCGAGGTTTTGCATTAGGGTCTCTTGGGATGATGCAAAGTATTAGTGCAATTAGGTCAGGATTTGCGGCGCGAAGAGGCTTGGCGGCTCTACCGAACGCAGATTACTGTGAACACGCTTGGGTAGGACTTTGGGTACGCTACGTCTTACTTAAGAACCCTTCTTGAATCAGCACGACGGGCTTTGTACTCTTCAGTTCCTCCTCACATTTTGCCTCCTGCAAGTAAAGCGCGAGGTCTTGGACGGAAAATGAAGGGCGTGGGCAAGACTTCTTGTTCAATGTCACGTGGGAAGTACTTCTGTCACCCATCCAACTAAACGCGTCGACTTCTACCACAACAAGACACCAGAACCTGCAGTAGCGGGGACGAAGAATGTGGCCATTTTCCGGCAGATGTCAAGAAAATGTTGTAGCATTGGTCTTCTTTTCCGGTTTTCCCGTTTACGCTTATGAATAATGTTGCAGCTTTCATTTTGTCCATCGTTTCTTTTTACTTACTGGTTCTTCGTAGGGAATAGGGAAAATGATCCCTACATAGTCCTTCTCTAACACGTTCCCTTATTCCCTACTACCCCTAAACCCAAAACCCCAGTAAGGCAAAGCCTCCGGAGCATCGGCTGCATCGGCTTCGGCGAGAGCCTCGGCCAGGAAGCTACGCACGGCCTGGCCAACAGTATGGAGGGCTTAGGGTTCACGAGTGATTTAGGGAATAGTTCTCTGAGAAAAAAGGTTTAGGACCATAGAACCTAGGCTTGGGGTTTTAGAGGTTTATTTAGCCTTTGAGAGTGAAGGTCCATGGGTTTAGGATTATGGACTTGGGGGTAAAGCGCAGTTTTTGGGATTTGAGGCTTAAGGCTTTCATGATCCTGTCCAGAAACCATGGTGCTCTATCCAAGCAACTGACACTATGTATGCTGCATGGATGGCTCTGAACACAGATTACCTTGAGAGAGATCCGGGATATGTACCAAGTCTGGGCTGTGGTTTAACTGGGTTGCTGTTAAGGAACTTAAATTAAGTTACTATATCGGGGAAACCCTATTAATTACCATATGTACCCATCATGGTAACTTAATTTAAGTTCCTTAACAACAACCCCAGTTAGGGCCAGTTCAGGGCTTAGGTTGGGTGCCTCATCGAGGTCAGCCACTGGCTTTGCTGCCAGCAGGGCGTTAACATCCATAGGGCCGCTCAACAACACAGTGAAATCAGTGGGCTCGTTTCGCTTCATTTTTTCGGGCGCGGGCTTCAGGGCTTTGTGTTCAGAAATTGCGGGTTTGCTTCGAGGCTTCTCAGATTCAGGGTGGCGATGTTGCGCGATGTTACGAAACAACCTATCTAGTACGCCTGAGGGTTTGGTGAATTTCATAAACACGGTTGCCCCAAACTTCAAAACCCGTTTATGGTTGCTCGGAAACATGATTTATAGAGCATCAAGCCTAAGCCCCAAACCTGTAGATGTAAAGTCCCCCTTAAGTAGATAGAATATGGCTTTGGGTATATTATAATAAGATCCCCATATACCCCATATTCTATCTACTTAAGGGGGACGATAGGCTGTGCGTGCCTAAAATGAGCTACAAACTCTGAGCCACTGCTTGGCCTCAAGGCTGCACTTCCCAGCAGGGAGAGAATGTGGGGTAGGTAGTAGGGCACTCTAGGGTTTAGGGTTTAGGGTGGGAATAACAAGGGGATTCATGGGGAATACATGGGAGCTCTCCCAATGCCCAAGAAATTTGGGGGAAAAATTCGATGCAAGGCGATATGGTCGTTGACATTTGGGGTATATCATAAATAAACCTCCGTATCCAGGCTTCCACATGAAGGAAGCAAAGTAGGGCTCAAGACTGGTTGATGGAGTGAAGGGCTTCGGTGGTACTGAGTTTCAGGTTCCAAGCATGCCCCATCCTACAGGAGCTATACCGTTGACACAAGGCCTACTTAAGTCATACTCTTGATAATCTTAGTCCTGCACCACGATCGCAGTACACTAGACTACAAGACTTCCCCAAGTATAATCCAAGGCGCGTGGGATCATGCAGGATTTTGAATATCAACTGTATGGCAAGTGATCAGAATCAGGGCAACACTCTTTCTCAAGAAGTCCTCACAAAACGGTAGCTCAGCCTAGAGTGAAATGATGCCCGGCAGGGCGGCCAATGACACACAGGACAAAGAGAAGTGCGAAGCAGAATGACCAGGAGAGAGGGCGTGTGGAGGAACCAGTATGAGCGGCACTTGGAGGTACGGCAAAATTTCCCAGTGGAGTAACAAGCAGAAAAAACACAATCATCATGACAATAACAACTTGGTGCTCTCATGGTCAACAATCAGAAGAATAACAGTAACTGCCGTAGCTTGAGCAATTCGGTAGTTATGCAACAGTACCCGCCCACAAGAGTCCAACAAACCCACAATGGGATTTATGTTGCTGGGTACTGCCCTCTTCGTTAACAGTGGGATAATATTTGTAAATTATTTGTATAGAGGCCTTAATGTGACGTCTATTGCAGACTGTTCATGGATGGGGTGCAGGATATACGAGGACCCTAATATATTCACCATTATCCTTTTTCGTTACCGTTACTGCGTGGGGGGTCCAATTGATGTATATCTGTAATCGCAGGCCTCGTCGACTGTTGCAGGGCAGCACTCAAACTACCCTTTTTGGCTCACTCGGGCGTACATAAGGGTCCGATACTCAGGCAGTTTGTGTCGGAGACGCCGCATTGGATGTACTTGCCTCAGAAGGTACAATCCCTCCAACAAACATGGAGAAGCTGCAAAAGGGAGTTTCCGTGCTAATTTGCGAGCGGAAATCTGAATAAACCAGCACTGGATGTACAGCACTTAAAATGATGGCCATCCTGTAGGGAATCCGTTTTTCAGTCGTTTTTCGGGGTGGAAACCAGAGTGTAAGGGAGGCAGTATCATGTTCTTCATTTGCAGCCTCTTCAAGTAAACACACCATACCACTCATGCAGTGCCGGTAGATTCCAGTTCTTCATTCACCCAGCTTGGACAAGCCTGCGCCCGAAGTTGAGTCCAGCAGCTGTGGGAAGTCCTTGTGTACTTTTCGTTGCAGCTGTTGACATCCTGCAATGGGGCTCAGAGGACGTGAAAGCCTACGGAATTCCACCCGCACAGCACATGCCTTTGGTACCGCCACCACCCAAAACCAGTTTACAATAGGGGTATATAGGGCTGCATTTGGTTATGCTATATGTCTTTTGCAGCTGTTACCGAATGCAAATGCGCACCTTCTATTCCAGGTGTAGATTGCTCTTGCAGCTAATGCCACCGGCAAAGTCTGGCTTAGCACTGTTTATCTTCATGGCTCGCATGCGGGATCGCCACACCTCTGAATCAAGTTGTTTGCAAATATTACATTACAAGCAGCTTCAACTGCCAGATGGACATCGAATTCATGAATCATGCAGCCCTTATAGATCCCTATCTTGGATCTCCCAACAGAGTATCCCACAGGGTGAGAACCCTTTCCACTGTCTGCACCTGCTGGGCGCACTGGAACTTGAGGTGTGATGTATCCTTCGCTGAGATTAGGGCTGGTGGGGGCTTGGCTGCAGCTCTTGGATTTGGGCCCGTGGATCGCCATAATCAAATGGCAGAGCTCCTCTATGAATGTGTATTGCATCATCCAACGAGCCGACACATGAGATCCAAGCATGAGCAAGAAAAACAAGCAATAGCACAGGCAGTCGCAGGAGTTCTTAGAGGGCCTTCGCTGTTCGGGCTACCCCAAAAATTTGAACCTCAACTAAAAAAACTTCTAAGGATGAGGATCAAAGGGATTCTGTGGAGGTTTATATAAGGATTATGCATAGCCCGGAAATTTTCAACCCCAAATATCCAAAAATCCCTCAACCCCCTGAATCATAGAATCATAGAAAGCAAAAGCCATTTGCCGCAACGAGCCGCAGCTTTGTCTTCCCCACTTTCGCGCCCAGTCCTTACGTGGAGGTAGAGGGTCATTAGAGTTTTGGGTATCCAGGGTCTTCTTGATTAATGGGCGGACCTTCAGAAGGTACGGCAGAACAATACTTCCTTGCAAGATGACCAGACAGAAAAAAAAGGCAGCCCTTAGGCCTAGCAATCGCCATATCTAGCACATCTGAGGCGCAGCTGGCCCTTGCATGCAGCTACCGTTTCTCCGAGGACGCTCAGCTCGTCAATGCGCGCAACAAGGTCTTCACCGCAAGCCTGTAACAGGTTGTTGAAAGTTGTGCGTATCTAGGGGTCATCAGGGAACAAGATGCTAAGTCCAAGTGCTCCCTGCGGCTTGCAAAGGTCATGGCTTACTTGTGGCTCGGGCTATATCCCGACTTCATACCCCTACAACTAGCCCGATATGGGTCACCTCAACTACGAGGAGGCTAGCGCGAACTGTTGCACCCAGCCAGTCAGTTTCATGAGCCAAAATAGGGGGTGATGCCACCAACTTCAACACTAGCAAGCACGAAATGTTTTTGTACAGGCAGTGCAACTAACAGGACATGACTTATTTATACTTCTGTGCAGAACCAGGAAAAATGGTGGGGACTTGTTCAAGCGCAATAATGGGCAAGCGAAGAATGCTTTCGAGGAGTCTCACAATCACAATGAAGGCTGCAGAAGGATGTGTACCTACGACTCCCAGTAACCTTTTGGGTCCATCCTGGATGAATAAGAAACCTGTGACACCAAAGATGGACAAAAGGGGGCTAGTGCAGATCTTAATTAAATATATATTTCTGGGGGCACAAAGCCTGGATGTACAGGTTGACCATTCCCCAACCTGAAAGGGAACCTCACATAGGCCCATTTAATTTCAAAAAGAGAAAGTATTTACACGGGGCACCTTCTGGGGTTGTGGGCGTTTCCCGACAATACCTGTCCACAACTTTTATAGAGCAGCCCCATTATCCGTTTGTCATCCCCATCCGTGACTCACCCAACCATAGGAAACGCTACACCCCAATTGCCAAACCCGAACCCCTAACCCCTAAAGCCTAAACCTCAAGTCCTAAACTCCAAGCTCTCTGCCCTTAAGGGCCTGTAGTTGGGTGGTGTTTCAGTAATCTTAAAACCCAAATTCTTGGACAAGAGCTAGTCTTGGATTTTCTGGCAACCCAAACTTAGGATTTAGGATTCTTGACCTAGAGTTTAGGAATCAGGGCAGAGGATCTGGGGTTTAGGTAAATTGTGCGTTGCCTGTTGCTGCGGCGTCTTCAAGACCACAAAGGTAAACAGGTCCTTCGAGTCAACCTAAGGCGTCGTCGCAGGGGAAGACACACAGAAACCAAAGGTATGAGACTTCAATTGAAGCTGATGTAATTCTGCATGGAGTTCTATGAATACCTCATGCTCGTTCAGAACTACAATCATCCCAATTTGGGGTCCACTTATAAGCCCGCATGAACTTTCAAATTGGGCTGGCCATCAGGAATCTCGCGGTGGAATTGACGGTAGTGCACGGATGCGCACGTCCTTCCTTCCAGCAGCAACAACAACTGCAAGCACAAGAGCAACTTCAACTGAAGCGTTAGCTATAGAATAGTCCCTAAACTTTAGCCACGATAGTGACCACTTGGGATGATGGTAACTGAGGATGCCTATATGCTCCTATACTACCACTATGATTGCGCACGGGCCTAGTCTAACGTACTGTCAGGGAAGTTCCCTACTACAAGCTCACACGGTTTCACGGGTTTGGGGTTTTTGTTGTCCCTTAGTATGAAACCAAGCCGAACCTTTGAACAAACACTGGACTCAAAATAATTACCAACACAGTTTTGGGGTCTGCTTGAGGTGTCAAAAGCAAGCTAGAGCCATTTGTTGGTCATTATCCCAACAACTTCCTTGATAGTCCCAGATTCACTTTCCGTTTCCGTTTGGTTCTTCAGTAGTTATTGCTGTTAATATCCCTAAGCCCCAAATACCCCAACCCTAAACCCTACATAGGCCGGTGAAGTGGAAAGAAGACGGAAGCTACTATTTAGGGTTTAGGGCTTAGTTTCCCAAAATTAGGGGTACCTTCCTGGTGTTCCCTATAGCAGGATTACTGTACTTTGGGGTTTATACTGGGGTCCCCTATTCATGGAAACTACCACTTATATCATACAATCCCTGTAAATGAGTAGTGTTTTTTTTGGTGGTTGAACCTAGTAAGATTGTATTCCTTAGCTAAAATACTATACCCCAAAAGGAGGATATAATCTTACTCTATATTGGGTACCATAGTATCCCCAAATAAAAATGCTACTCACATGGCCCCTATAGTCTGCATTGGTAGCCAAGTCGGGGCCGAAGCGCTTTGACCGGCGACTTCGCCGCGTCAGCGGCCCAGTCCTCTGTGAAGGTAAGGGGACTTTACTTGTGGCGCTTGTTTAGGGTTTAGGGTTTAGGGACCCTAAACCTTGAGGTTTCTGAATGTAGGGGGATCTTAATGAGTGGGAAAGAAAAAGGAAACTGCTATAGGGTTTAGGGCTTCGGGTATTCGAATGTTGTGTAAGGACATTTCAACGCGAGGATCAGGAAGACCTAGTAAGTAGGTTAATGGCAAAGAGAATGGAAGCTACCACATTATTTCAGGTCTAGTTTTTAGGGTCAGCAGGATGTAGTAAGTAGGTTCACAATCAGGATTACAGGACTTGTTAAATGTTTTTCAGCGGCTAGGGCGTGGAAAAAACGTTTAGGGTTCAGTAATGGCTTCGTGCTTATGGTCCTGTTTTTCCTACAGTCTAAGTTCGGGAAGAATGTACAATCAAATGGACAACAGCACGAAAGAGGGCAAAGACACTGGGGGCTTATAGGGCTTTAAGGTTTAGGGAACTGGGTTTTTCTTATGGAAGATTTTTTGAACGGCTGCACGGCTTGTCATTCCGCCTGTGGAACAAGGCTATAGACAGGTCCTTCATCTATGGGAAGCCATGCCATGCGTGCAGATTTTACTTTTCCAAGGCCCGTGCCCGAATCGCGCCAGGGGGTGGGGTAAGTATGGGTAAGTCAGATGCCCCCCCGCTCTGACACGCACGCGGCCTGCCTGTCTGAGAGCGCACAGGCAGATTGGAAGCTCCAAAACGGAGAAACGGTTCCCTCATGATGCTGATGATGCTGCCCCCTTGGCCAGCATCATCAGGAGCTTTGCGGGTTCGTTTCTTAAATTTGGGCCCCCCAACACCCATTGAAACCCATGCTTCTCTCAGCTCCGGCTCCAGACGGGCCTTGGGGCCAGTTTTGAAAACGATCCGTGCTCATGATGCTGTTTGGGGATCCAAAAGGGTGGTTGTCAAAATTATGGTCCCTCTTTGGGTACCCTAAATATTAGGTGCCGTATTATAATATGGATCCAAAAAGGGACCATAATTTTGACAACCACCCAAAAATCCTTTCGTAGCAGGGGTGAAGCCTCCAGAGTGCGTGCTGATTGCAGGCTGCCTTTGGGATGGGGTCTTCAGGGGCCCTTGGAGAAACGGAGGTCCAATGATTCAGGGTCGGTCGTGCTGGCGCTGTAAGCACCACGTTTTGCAAAGCTATGGCTGCATCGCTGGAGCGGTCACAAATGGGCGTTGCCCGATTTGGGCTTCAGGCTTTGGCGCAGACCCTCTGCAAATTAGGGTGTTGAGGACTAGGGTTGAAGTACTTGTTCTACGGATCATCTCAAATCTGTCCTGAGAGAATACCACAAGAGAACGAGCGAGAGGTAGAGAGAGAGAGAGAGAGAGCTAGCAGCGCTCCTTGGTTGGTTTGATTGAGGAGTACGGCCTGTTGGAGACTCAAGAAGCAAGCAACAAACTGTTTGTTCCTTGCGGGGGATTCTGTTCGTCAACTTCCCCGAGCTTTTTTGCTGGCACCCTTGTCACCAGGGATGCTGCCAACTTCCATGTTTGGAAGGGTGTACTCGTCAACAAAACTGAATATGATGGGAACACAGCTGCACGTCCAGTTTGGGACCCTGACTAGCTGAACATATATCTAGTGGCCATCTCACAGGGTTTCCAAGTCACCCGGCCTTCTCACCCTCTGTGCGTGTCAGGTACACACCATCGACTTTGGTCTCCTTAGTTTGCCCACATACGCGGCTTCAGGAGCATTGCAAATGCCATATGTACACTTACTACAACCATTCTGACAAATCCCTGGGTTGGCCAAGCAAGCTTCTGGACCAGGAGTTTCGACTATAGCTGATTAGGGTTTAGGGTTTGAGGGATTAGGGGCAGGCAGCCATACTGGGAACAAGTGCGTCTTGGTCAAGTAACATGATATGCCCCTTCTTTAGGCCTTGGCAGTAGAAATCCTAAGCCCTCAGCCCCTTCCGTGTTGACCTCACGTCCATGAATGGTGGAACTACACAACTTTGAGGGAAAGTTGTGGAGTCTTTACTTCTTGATCCTTGAGGGGTCCTACTGCCCTGCATCGGCACGCCCTTGCTCACATGACTTGCTGGTTGTTAGTGGGGAATGAGCGAGTGGAAGAAACTGGAAATCTTATCATGATCGGGGACTTATGTGGGGGCTACTACGCTACGGGCATCCACTCCTCCATTCCCTATGAACAACCAATAAGATGAAAGTAACATGGTTCACTTAGCAGTTAGCACGGACAAGTGGTGCCAAACCCAAATTCCAGGGATGTAGTGTCATTGCAGAATACCAGGCTCTGTGCCTGACATCTCCAGGCAGGTTAAGCACAACGTTCCCTCACCCGAAGATGCAGTAGGAGCATTTTGCCAATACATCCAAAAATGATCTTAAGGATCTGCGCTGCCTCCATGAGCAGAGGCAGACAGTCAATCTTTCCCGATATGTCCATGGACATCGTTTAGACCATCTATCTAGCGCAGAATGCAACAAACTATCTGAAACATTACAATTCTCCAGCTAGTTAGAAGGCCAATTCCTTGTGATTATGCAATGCCTTCAACTCTGAAAGCAGAATTCCAGAGTTCATGCCCTTCAGGACTGGGAGCATGGCGTCAGCGAAGCCTCATCCAAGCTAGTACCTTGGAAAGCCTGCACATCTACCGCAACCCTCTAAGTAGCCCTGAAACCATCCAACCACAAATAAACAGGAATCAAGATGTCAATCAGGTACCTCGGGTTTTTTTGCTATAGGGACCCGCGATATCAAGGCGACATATGCCCCAAATAATAGCAGCGCCTTGCATTCACCCCAGTAAGAAACCCATGATTTCAAGAAGCGCCCATTTTTCTGGGTAATTTAGAACAACTTCAATTCCCAATTTAAGGCCATTTTGACATTATTCCCTATATAAACCATCATTTAGGGTGAGGTCGGGTTTGCCCAGATTTTTGCCTTCTCGCCGAGGTTCAGGAAGCTTGCTGCTGTGGTTTGTGCAGTCGGCGGACGATGCTGGTGCCAGGGGGAGTTGGAGCGTTGGGGGTAAGAGATCTGCTGGTGAAGAGACCTGTATACACTCTCCAGATAGGAGGACCCTTTATACATGAACTCCGCATCAAGTTTGATGTGTAAAGGGTCTCTCTTTTCCTTGGCGGGGAGGCCTCGGGTGTGGGGGTAAAGGGTCTCAGGCAGAGAAGTGGAACGCCAAAAGGTTGCCTTCTTCTGAAACTGGGTCTATCGGGTTCCATGTTAATGTGAGGGAGGGTAAGATTGACGAGGGGATCTTTGAGACTGACTAGTCCGCCATGCACAAGTCTGTCCATGCTCCTGTACAGTCCTAGTTTACAGCCTATAATGTCCTCTCTGAAGCTTTCTGCAAAGAGCTCTGGAAAATCTCTTCTGGGGAATCTTTCCCTCGTCCTAAACTAGTTCTGATGACTGCCACGGAAAGTACTATGGGCAACCATGCCCCCATGCTCTACTAAGCAATATTCGCAGCAGTCTCAACCTGCGACTTTTTCGGTTGAATCTTTGCTTCCAGTATGGGCATGTTCAGGCCGATGCTTGGCATGCATCTGCGAATTGAGCTTCTAAGGTTAATTAAGGGCCTTACCTTGGGCATCCCTGATACAACGGCTGCCGAAGGCTTATGTTCATCTACATTTGAAGCGTCAGATGCCTAGAGCTTAATTAAACTAAGCAGAAGCTCTTGGGGAACCAGGAGGAGTTGTAGACAAAGCTAGTGGTAGTAGTACTGTGAAGAATGATTGACATGTTTCCAGTGCTACTAACAACAACTCAAGGCACAGTCATGACTCTGTTGCCGCTAGATGCGGGAATTTCCGCAGTAGAAGCCCCCCTTACGCTCCCCCAGAATAACGCGAAACCTCATCAAGGGGAATTCCCAAGCAATATTCTCGACGCCTGCATTCCATGTGATGCGCTCCACTTTTGCAGTGCCAGCGGCGAACTCGCACTGGAGTGACCTGACAGGGCTCGGAGTTTGAGGTTGAGGACTGGCACTAGCACCCTGCCCTGGGCAGCAGCATCGTGCGCGTCCCTTTGTGGTGATTTAAAGCCAGTGTTGCCCAAACCATGCTGCTTTTACCTAAATGACGTGTATCCAACCCGAGGAGGTGGATATCGTTAAGCGGATGAACTGTTTATGGCCATCAACCCATGTATTTCCTTGAGTGTTCAGGCAAAGAAGTGCTTGTACTAAGCCTAAATTGGAAGCCATCAACACTGTGTCGTGGCGAAGGCAAGTATGACAGCGTTGCCAAGCTGAGGTAGCGGCAGCATACCTGCACTGCATGTTATGCAAAAGCCCGAATCAAAAGTCGGGTTCTGGGGTATTTCCTGCTTATGTTCCTACATATGTGTTGGGGATGATATTCCTAAGTATGCAAGCTTCTATATTACGTTAACTGTTTACGGCTTGAGGGTTCAGGGTCCTTCAAGTTTGGCGCAGTAGTGACAAGTTACAACTCAGACCCTTCAGCAAAAGACGCTTACATCAGATTCGGAACCACAACCATGTTCAGACTGAAAGTCAAGGTTAGTACTATTGCATCTGAGCTGAGGCAGATCTTGCTGCTGCGAAACATTATGGCGAACCTTGCCGCACACTACTTCGCGAAATGCACTAGTAAGACATGTAAGACCTAAAGCTGGAAGACTTGACGCTTGTCCTTGTATGTTCTTTCAAAAATCTGCGCATGGCACTTGCTCAGCATTGAACGCAACAAAGCCTTACAATCGACGAGTCCCCTGTTAGGGGTTGGTTTTGAAGGGCTGTTAAGGAGTTTTACTTTGAACCCTTAGGGTTGAGCTTGATCCCTGAATGGAATTGAACGTTTAGCTAGGGTAGTTAGGGACCCCAAACCCAAGGATACATGAGGTTGTCATGGTTTCGTGTGCCAAGGGCTTCCAGGGTGTTTCAACCCCAGGCGGCATGGTCCTTTTACCTTCCGTCTTAGTCCGCTTACAGTTTGGAGGGCTGAGTTTGACTGTGGTGAGCTTAAGGTTTATAGTCCCCCTTAAGTAGATAGAATATGGGGTATAGGAGGATCTTATGATAATACACCCACAGCCATATTCTATCTACTTAAGGGGCACTATAGGGTGTACCGTGGCCGGAAGCATTCTTCTACAGACATGTCTTTGAAGTGTTGAGGCAAGTCTGGGGACTGGGCTTGGGATGTCAGGTGGGTCTTCTTTCTAAAGAGTAAGTCCTTTGTCCCACGCCTACAGAAGAAATCCAACTTCATGCTTTCCAAGACACTTAATCGTAATACTGGTAAAACTATTTTTGGGGACAAACGTCCCCAAATCTAAGTTCTAGAGCCACTCAGCCCCGCAAGTGCTTCTGGGGACTTTCCAGAGCACTAGATCCCGCAAATGAACTTACAGTAACATGAGTGGAATCATGTGTCTTGTTCCACATGGGAGCTTCCAATTTTTTTTTGCGGGTCTCCAAAACTGTATTTGGGAGTTTTAAGGCACACCTCAACTCATAGTTCTGGGCGATCTAAATTTCCTCTTCAAATCTTTTCTTACAGGTGCTTAAGGGGAGTGGGGGGAGTGAATTTAGGTACTTCTATGGGGGAGTACGTGAAGATGAAGATTACAGGGATCTTCTCCCCTACTCTCCCTGTCGCATTAGTATGTTCGGGGTGTCGCTGAGGTACCATGTTGCTGCGCTGAGCGGTAGATGGCCACGCTGGACTTTTTGCCTGGGATCTTTCTACGAAGGTTGGAGTTGGAACCATGGGCTCCTCATACGAGCCCTTGGCTGTTGTGCCGGGATGCTTAAGGCACAGAAGCATACATACAGGGCACACAGGTGGGTGAGGATCCAGAAGTTAGCGGGAAAACTGACTCAGGGTTTAGGGCATGCCAGAATGTAGAGACTTAACGAGGAGAGTCTTAAATGCCAAATTCATGCAAGGACTGAAGGTGGACCATGCTCCAAATGATTCAGCCTCTGCATTCACGCAAGTGGATCCAGCTAGACCTTCGGAGAACGGTTATGCTTGCTACAGGGGAGTTGATGGCTTGGAGCCACCAGCAAATTCGGGGGATTCCTTTTTGTAGGGCCTGGCAGTCAAGTAAAGGTTTCTTTGCGTAGTAGCTAGGACACAGACACACGAAGAAGTACAATCAACGACTCCCAGAGCAGAAGGATGGCTGAGAGAACTGCAAACACAACAGAATTTTAAGTATGTCCTGTGCTATCCCCAAAAACCCCCAAATCTATGTAATCCCTAGACATGTCCACGAAGCAGCTGGGCTGCCGTCGCTGGCAAGTCCAGCCGGGTTTGTGTCGTTGTCCAAGCTCAGGTCCTGTTGGGATCTCTCTAAGGAGATATCTAAGGGCAGTAGATGGAACACCTAAAGCCGAAACCCCAGACTGGAACATGTACGGCTACACGGCATTCAACTGGGCGGGGTTTGAATTCCAGCCCGCACCCTTCAGGCAGGGTTGCACGATTGCTAGTTGAGTGCTGGTATTCTACGTATGATGACAGGTACTCAACAACTTGACTTGAGAACGATTTCCTAGCTTCCTTGCTACTTCAGAGCAAGGCCAGGGGAGCCAAAGGATCTGACAGAGAACACGAAGTGGCAAATGTGCAGCAGCCCCCGCAAGTACAATCGAAGGATCTACGTGAAACGATGGGATTTCACTGCGAAGAAAGCCGACAACTTGCTGTGACGGGAACCCCAGAATTCATTTTCGATGATGTTTTTACCTGTGCTGGCAAATCCCATGCACCGCCTCAGTGGAATTGCCCTCGCTCGTCTCTATCCACTTGCAGTTGGTCAACCTCAGGAGCCCGTTGTCAGGAATTTCATGCAGATTTCATCCAGGATCGGGTCCTGTTTAGACCTTTGCTAAAGAGGATCTCTACCAGCAAAAGATCCCGATCACCAACGCTGTCCTGACGTAGCGGAGCTTGAGACACATCAACCCTCTTTCCACCCTGCGCATTCCAAAGCACACCCCCTGACGTCTGGAGCGCTGCATTCCTGTCTACTCCCCTCATTAATCAGTGAAGTCCTGTATCATGTGAACTGTTTAGCCCAACACGTTTCTTGCAAAGCCCATGCAATCCCACAAACCCTAAAAGTCATCAGGGGGTCTTGTAAGCCCTGAGAAAGGGATCACACACGGGGGGAGCCCGCATAAGAGACCCTACGTCCTAAACCGACATGGTGTGCCCTTATATGGGAGCTTATGGACCCCGAAAAACTATAATCCTTCTTACACGGAACCCCCTAAAAGGACCACTAATTGTTGGAACCTCCCATATTCCCCATCATACACGAGGAGCTTCAGCGGACCAGCGACACCTGCAGCAAGCGGCAGCCTCACTCAGGCAAACCGAAAGGGAGGCCATGAAAAGGTCAGAAACTGACCCTTCATAGGAGTTGGTTCAACTAAGCTTAGGCTTCCCAAAAGCGTTTATCAAACTTAGGGTTGCCACAGAGGATCAAAATTCCGATTTAGGGCTTGGGCCATGGGAGCTAGCCCAAGTTAGTAAGAGGGAATGGGTGGCAGCAGGAATCAGGAATCCACATGGAGATGTAGCATATGTGAGGAAATCCCCGCTTGAATGGCTGTCATATCTCAGGCCTTTTTCTCTTACTGGTGCAGAAGGAGTGGGAACGCGAATATGGCGGTACAGGTAATGCTCCCGCAGATGGTAGGATTCGAAATTACGCTCTCCCAAGTTGAGATCCCATCGCTACACTCAGCAATAACATTATTGAGGAATCCCACGCACACTTCCACCTCATGTTTCCAAGCTATTTCAGCAGGCCAGGCTCCAGCGAGGGAATGAAGAAAGGACTAGATTCGATTATGGATCACGAAGGGCTTATGTAAAGTTCTTTCATGGCAGCTTCCCTCCTAAAGTTGCCTGAAAATGGAATCCCTTCATGGTGCCTGTATTCACTCCGTCCGTGAACCCGCAAATTTCGGGTTGGGTAGTCTCTCCTAGCTGGGGGAAGCTAGAATGAGAGGGGAATATTTGAAAGTCTCTGCACTCCCCCTCCTCCCTGCTGCCAGGGCCATTAACATCCACCCTTCATTTTGTGTGGTGCAGTGTAGGTCCCCACAAAACCAGAAGATCCAAGAGCGGTAAGGGCAGCAAAAGCAACAGGGCTTTAAAAAGGATTCCCAGGATTGTAGGATTATCTTGTTGAACAAAATCTCTAGAGCACGCGGACGTAAGGAGTCTACTGGAACAAGAGGGAATGAGGTGTCAGGGGATCTGACTTCTGATGTTTCAGGGGTTCTGGTGAATGGTATGAGGTCTCCAGAATAATCTGAATGGATTCACCAGAAGGTGTAAACTGTCTACCGAAGTGTCCAGCAAAGTCTATAAGTCTATAAGAGGCCGTACTGGACTACGATTAGGTAACGCCCTAATCTCTCCAGCAAGAAATGCCCTGACACCCAACTCTTCTGGCATCACATAAAGACGGCTGAAACCTGTGACGGATCACACCGTGACGTTCAAAATTTTCCAGAGATCACAAGGCATCTCTGAAATTCTTGGCGTCACGGTGTGATCTCTGGAGAGAATTGTTGGGCATTACAGTGAACTCTCTCAAGCGTTTAGGGCGTCACGGTCTGACCCTTCAAGAGTTGTGGGCGTCACGCTGTGATCCCTGGACAGTTTCAGGCGTGACAGCGTGATCCTGGAAGGAATTGAGCGTCAATGTGTGTGACCCCGCAAGAGTTCTGGGCGTTAACGTGCCTCCAAAATTTGGGTTGGGTCTGTCCTATCTCTGCGGATTTCGGTCGTCGTGGTGTGGTCCCCCAAGAGCTGTGGGTGTCATGGTGTGATCCTTCAAGAGTTTTGGATGTCACGGTGTGATCCCTTAAGAGTTTTGGGCGTCACGGCATAATCCCGCAGGAACTGTGGCCGTCACGGCGTGATCTCTCAACGTCTTCGGGGGCCGCGGCGTGATCCAGCAAGGATTTTGGGTGTAACGGTTTGAACCCTCAAGAATTTTGAGCATCACGGTGTGATCCTCAAAAGTTCTGGGCGTCACCGTGCGATCCCTCGAGAGTTTGGCGCGTCACGGTTTATTGATCCCTGGAGAGCTTTGGGCGTCGAGGTGTGTGATCCCACGAGAGCTCTAGGTCTCATCGCAGGAATTTTTTGGCTGCGATCCCTCAAGAATTCTGGGCGTCACGGTCTGACCCTTCAAGAGTTTTGGGCGTCATTCTGTTATCCCTCGAGGGTTTCGGGTGTCACGGTGTGATCCCTCAAGAGTTTTTGGGCGTCATGGTGTTATCCCTCGAGAGTGTCGGGCGTCATGGTGTGATCCCTCAAGAGTTTTGGGCGTCACTATGTGATCCCTCAAGAGTTTTGGGGTTCACTGTGTGATTGCAATGCAATTCTATATATTGAGCGGACGTATAGCGCTTTCCTTTGTGGAGGTGTCTATGATCGCCGGGTCCGTGCTGACCAGCATTCTTTCAGAATTATGCGGGTTATATTTTGACAAGCTCCTGTTTGAGCATTTCTCAGAATTGGGATCCCCCTTTTCAATGTCCAAAGAGTACACAAATGGGATCTTTGCAGCAGAACTCCCAAGAGGTGGAGGCCTAACTTTAAACCCTATATCCCACATCCTGAAGCCGGCCATCATTTTGAGAAACTCCCTTTCCACTTACGGGTGCTTAAGGGAGAGTTGGGCTATCATAATCCCTATATCATCCCCCCATATACCCTGTACCAATCCCTATATTCCCCCACTCCTCCCTCGGCACCCGCAAGTCTAGACACGGAGTCGAGTCCGAGCTACGTCAGCTTTCAAGCCCCGTGAATGGAGGAGATGCCAGTCTTTGTAAACCTAATATAAGTACTAACAAAGGCAAACGGCGTAATACTCATACGATGATTACTGATAATAACAGGTACATATATAGGTACTATGTAGACTAGGATTGTCGTTTATGGTTCCCTGAATTGGACACAAAAGATACGAACAACACACCATAATGGCAATTTCAGAAAATTCCCCGCTTTTGAGCTCCCAGCCAGCAGGCTGTGAGTGCACTTAGCAGACACCTGTGGCAGGTGGTTTAGAGTTCTGGCGCTGGATTTAAGCTTTCGGATCTAGGGTCCAGCGCAGGATAATCAAAGAATAAACGTGCCCAAGATTTTGCCTGCGGAAAAGGGGAATAGTTGTTCACTGACTGGCGCATGCTGGACGCAAAAACTTACAAATATCTTGGGGGCAGCAAAACAAGGACGATGGCTGTGGCTGCTGGAGGTCTTCTTAGGCATGATCAAAATTCCTGCTTGGAGTTCAAGGCGCAAAGGAACTTCCAATCCCGAATGGAATCCGCATCTCCATATCGAAGAAATTTCCAACCCGCTGAACCATAACTCTGCTTGGAGGTCCGCGGGTACTTCTATCTGCTTATCGTATAGCCCATTAAACCTATTAGCGGACTTAAGGGTAACACAATTTGGTTCTACGCACACTTATGAGCAGGCCCCCCTTCCCCCCCCACCGGCGCATCTTCGTGGACTGGCGACCGCAGAAATGGTGTGTCGGGAGCCCAACAGCAGCGAAGGACCACTTGTCTCTGCGCAATGTCACATATGGGGTAACATTTGCTTTCTTTTGAGAAAATTCTGAAGGGCCGTGCTAGCACAGGAATCCACCAAGTTTTGACCACCTACAATATAGGAGTTTTTCAAGCCAGGTTGAAATGAATTAGAAAAGATCACAGAAATCCACTGTAGGGAACTAGGCATTATGTTGAGAAGCTCCCGTATGGCAGTTTCCATTGCTTATTCATGACTGGATATTTCTCGGACATATACATCGATCAAACAGTACGCGTTTTTTTGCAGGATGTTCCCTTTCAGGACTGAGAATTCAGGGTAGACCCTGTGTGCAATTCACGAAGCCGCGCTCTGCTCAACCTGGGTTGCTGTTAAGAACTGAAATTATGGTCTCGTAATCTGGATGGTATGTGTATATGCTGTATATGTATGACCTGGTTTACTTACAATGATAGCGCTGACTGAGTTCCTTAACAGCAACCTAGAAGCCCTCTGATTTGCCTGTGGATTTGGTCCTTGCGCATTTTGCGCTGCGAGGAGAAAGATTGAAACTAAGATTTCAGTTGGCAGGCAGCTAACAAGCCGACACTTCTTCTATGGAGCTTTGCAGAGTCCTCAGTTTCAATAAGAGACACCAGGCCAACTGATTGAAGTCATTTACATTTTCCCGACCAGATCTTGTGGGAAAAGTTAGATAATGTCCTCACCCTATAATTGCAATGAGGACCCTGTCGAAGGTAAACTAGAATTGCCATATCTGGGGATTGTTATAGGGTGGGGGGCAGCATCCAACTCAAAAGTCTGATACAAAACGCACGACTTCATGCGCAAGCTCAGGAAGACCTGCGGCAGACCATGATGCAATTTACCTTGGCTGCTCTTGAATCCACGGCTAAACGCAACTTGTACCTTCGGTATTCTGAAAGAAAGAACCCCAAAGTGTACAAATGCTGATTCGAAGGCCTCACAAACAGCACCAAGCTGCATATACACCTCCACGTAGCCATCGGCCAGCGCAAGCGAAGACACCCTGCTACACTGAGCTGCGTCTCCATCAAGACCCATCTGCAGGTAGTACGGGATGGACTGTCCCCGGGCAAAGTCGGCCGCGGCTCGGTTGCGAGTGTTGCGTAAATCAATTCGAGCACCCGCTGCAATTAGGGCAGCTGCAGCTTCCCATTGCGCCGTCTGGATGGACTGCATCAGGGGCGTGCTGCCGTTCTGATGGTAGAAAAATTGCGTTTGAAGAGTGGCCCAGCCAAGCCGGTGTTGCAGGGACTTCGTTGCGCAGAAAATCCGTCCCAGTGGTCTCAAGTCGCGAGGCACGCTGAACTGGAAGTTGACGTCGGCGCGCAAGTTAAGCAGTCGGCGCACCAGTTCTGCGGAGCCACCTCGAAAAGCTGCAGCACCCCAAAGCGCCCGCGATAGCTCGAGCGCTGGGCAGCCCTGAACATCCTGCACCAGCATCTCTACCGCTTCCATTGCTGCATAAGTGGCTGCAGCCTGCAAGGCCGTGAACCCCAATAGGTTCTGAGCCAGCGGTCTGCCGCCTGCAGCGCAGAGCAGCCGGACACCTTCCGCATTGTTGGAGATGGCTGCGTAATGCATGGCTGGAGCAGTTCCACCCTCCAAGTGGGCTCTTGCCGCTAGGAGTAGCCGAGTTGTCTCGTGGTGCTTGTAGCAGACTGCCAGGTCCAGTGCCGACATCCAAGGCGGTAAGCCCAGTGCAGGCTCATCCTTGGAGGTGCGACGCCTCACATCAGCCCTTAACTCCAAGAGGGCTTCAAGCACCTCCACGCTCCCAGCCAGTGCTGCGTAGTGAAGCGGCCGCCACCCCGCACTGTCAACTTCACCAACACTCCTGAAGCCATTCTGGTGAAGGAACTCTGTCACTGCCTGGCCATCAGGACCTTGCGTATCCTGGCTAGGAAGAAGGCAAATGGGCCTAGTCGTCTCTAAGCCTCGCAGGTGCACGCTCTGCAGGTTGAAGTGGCGCCGGAAGGTGGGCAAATCACCCGTGCGGAGGCAGTGCTTAAGCTTCTGCATGACGATCCTGGGTTGCTGTTAAGGAGCTTAAATTAAGTTACCATAATGGGTGTATATAGGGATAATGGAAAAGAAAATGGAAACTACTATAATGGGGTTATATAGGGGTTTAGGGTTTAAGTTACCATAATGGGTATATATAGTAAATATTAGGGTTCCCCCAATATGGTAACTTAAATTAAGATCCTTAACAGCAACCCAGGATCTTGCGCATGACCGGTGCAAGCCGAGCCTTATCTTCTGCAACTGTGAACTCTGCTTCGCCCACGCAACCAGGCACAAAAGAAACTGCGGTGCCCACCACTTCGATCGCAGAATCACTCTGGATAAGAATCCAACTGCTCTCTCTTGACAGCTCGCGTGCTGCCCTTTCAATCCTACACCAGCCGCGTCTACTCCAACTTACGGCTGACAACACCTTGGCCTCTGGGGGACAATCAAGAGTCGGACACAAAGCCAGGAAGAACTTGCATTGGGCTATGTAGCCCGGAATGCTGTTGATGGCGTTTGCTTGGTTGCTGCCATCCCTCTGATCGGTGGCATAAAACTTCCGGTGTTCCAACTGCGGACAGGAGAAGTAATCATACCAAATGAATAAAGGCTCCGTCTGAAACTCACTCGTTGGAAGGGCCTTGGCACTTGGTACCAAGCCTTCCGTAACTGCATCTAAGGGTACATGCCCGGAGCTGAACAGGAGCCTTCTCAAGGCTTCTTGTAGGATTCCTCAGATTTGCTTCTGCGACCAGAAACTGCGAACCCAGTACCAGGTGAAAACGCGAGAGCAGGGTGTCTAAGAATTCAGCGCAGAATTTATTGCACCCCATGGCCCAGAACATACTTTGATTTCCTGGATTCCTTAACAACAACTCCAAGATGCGCATTTGCTTGAAGTCGGGGTCAGGATGGTCTGTGCTAAGCCACTGATGTGACACGAAGGCGGCTCTCCCGGTGCCGCCGCCAAAAAGGACCAGCTGACCCCGGGCCTCCGATTGCTAATTGCTAAAAGAGGGTAACAACAAATATATGTACCATTGTCTGAACCCCTAGTATCCCCCTTAATAAACTCTATAGTAGTCCCCTATATAATCCCCATAGAACCCCCTTTAAGAAGTTCAGACTATAGCTCATATAGGATCCCTTGTGCAACCCTGACAGTTGCTGACAAACCCTACCACTGCAGTCTTTGCCGCAGGCTTTTGACCCCACCAAAACCGAAAACACGTAGTTGTATCAAAGATCTGAAGCAGGGCAGCTGAAAACATTCTCTGTTCAACCCTGAACCACCGAAACCGTTTGCTTACAGCGGCTTGAGTGGATAGCGTTTCCTTACCCCCGCACCCTGGGTGTACTTGCGCACTTCTCAAAGGAACGGTTTCCTTCTACAAGACAAAGTCAGAAGATGCCTAGTACAGGGATGCCAACAGGCAGCCGCAGTTTTGGGAAACACTCACTTAGCTGCGGAGGGATGCGCTCACGACGTTGTTGGGCCACCCTGTTTTTGTTTTCTGCTGACGCCAAAAGAACCTGTATCATAGCACGGACTGAAATGGCTCTTCTAATGCTTGATACGGCCCCGATGCAATCCTCGCTTTTTCAAGCCCTGACCCTGCACACTTCTAAGCTTAGTGGCGGTTCGGCGGTTCGTTGCGAGTCAAGGAATAAGGTATAAGAAGTATACGTACCATTACAAGGGACCATGCAGGGACTACTCCTCCTTACCTTAATTTTGACGGAAAAAGTCAAGAAAGCTGATAGCCCCGGCCTTCAACTCTTCGTGAGGCTCGACCTTTGTCATCTTCAGCAGCAGCTCGGAAGTGACGGTGTACATTGGGAACAGCATAGGAGCGGCCTGAAATTGGTCGGTTTCGGGGTTAAGGGTTCAGGGGTCGGGATGAGCGCTTAAGATTTAGGCCTCAAAGCCTTCAAAATTGCCCGAAGGACCCAAAACCTCAAAGCCCAAAGCCCTTCAGTTTGAAAGGTCAGCGATGGAAACTTTTCGATCAATTTTGACATTCTTGATGATCATGGTCAACCTTTGCAAGAAGTAACCTTGTACGAGGAGCTCCTAAGTCTAGGAAACCCTGACATGCCACAGTCGGGTGACGTCAGCATCGTCAGGCAGCGATTTGGCATGAAGTTCCAGTGGCGTCGGATGCTTTCCGGCAACGCAACAGGACATGGTTTCAAGCTCTCAAGCTCACCCTACCGCCCGGACCAACCCAAACCTAGACCTTCAAGTTCCTGAACCCAAAACTTTGCGCCCTAAATCCTGGATCCTAAGCCCTTACCCCCTAACCTGTGTCTGTTAAGCTGAGCCTGGCTTGGAGAACAAGTTTGGATACCTTTTAAAACCCAGGCAGCAATTAAGGTCTAAGTCTAATGGACTTTCTGACAACTGCAGGCCCGTACAGCAGTAACTACTAGTCCCCCTTAAGTAGATAGAATATGGGGTTATATAGGGATAATGGAAAAGAAATGGAAACTACTATTTAGGGTTTAGGGTGATGGGTGTTAAGTTCGGATAACATGGGAACAGGAGAATCCCCTCCCCTAATTTGAAAATACCACCAATTTGAGATTCATGATTAGGGGTTGTCAGTAGGGGAGTGGCTTGGTATTCATGGGAGTTTCCAAAACTTGCGGTTCCCTTCTTGGTGGTCTCCGCAACCTGGCTGCTAGCATATTTGGGCTCATACTGCGGTTTGTCTATCCATGGAAACTACCACCCTACTGTGGTAAGCTATTCCCAGTTTACGATGAAATGCTAATACCACATTTTGCGTTCTTCAATATTCTTATATATCGCTGTGTCTTATCCTATAGTATTACGATAGTATATGTATATATATATATATGTTTTTCTGTATTGCTCTAGTTTTCTTATGTATTCCTCCACAGCTCTGTTAATACTTTTCGCGTTCTTTGTGGTATTATTCGTATTATGAATATTAGAATCAATATTCGGCATATGCTTAAGTTCCCTAAAAGCAGCCCACCCGCTACAGGCGGGATTGAGGAGCCAAGGTCTTTGTCCCCCGTTTCGGAGACCTCTCTCGAGCCGAGTGGCAACCCTAGAGATATTCCTACTCCAGAATCTTTATTAAGGGATGGCTAAAGGCCACGTCAGTCATGAGCTCCACCACAAAATCGCGCCGTGTTCATTCAAACTCCTCATGCAGTTTTGGGGGTTTCCCAAAAAATTAGAGGTACATTTTAGGGGTAGTATAAGGATTATGGTTTTTTGGGCTCTATGTTGGGGTTCCCCCAATGTTGGGAAACTACCCTTTGCTGACAAAACTTGCTGCTGCGCCGTCCCTGCTTGAAACCCTGAACCCTAAACCCTAAACCGCTTACTCAAAAGACACAGACGCAGCTGCCGAGGTTCCTGGATGCAAAAGGTCAACCTGTCAATTTATCTAAACTCCTTAAAGAGGGTTTAGGGTTTAGGGGGTTATAAGGGGAATTATATAGGGGAGTATTGTAGGTGTTATTTAAGGGGGATACTAGGAGTTCGATATAGAGGACATGTATAAACTTATGTATGAGTACAAGCAAGTATACATGACATCATGCAGATATCGATATAAAAAATGCAAGCATCTACAACCATGCAGATATGTATTAGACATTACACGTTTATGTATACGTAAACATGCACACACCACAGGGTTCAAGGCTACCCACTCGGCTACGAAGCTGAAGCTTCAAAGACTCCTGCACATTGACTCTCTCAGATGTGCAAAACCTGTTTTGCCAATGCCACAGCAAGGTGTCACTCATATTTACGGTGCTTCAAGGCGAGGGGGGGCTTAACAAAGGTACTACTACAAAGGTTTTGATGGGGATTATCCTTGCCTCGGGCTCCCGCCACTCACTAGCAGTTACAATTTTTTTCTCTGGTGCAGATTTTTGCTTTTACAATTACCTTCCCACCTTACTATGGTGAATGTTCATGTTCTGGGGGTATGGAGTTTTACTATTTGGAAGGGGATTGAGCGGAGAACCCTGCTGTTGCGCAGTTTTCCTTCGCAAAGCTCTCCATGCTAGTTTCGCTGAGCATCTTCACAGGCATGTCCATTGCCATGGGCCGATCTCCATGGCTTCTTCTCCTAGACACATTTTCGGAGTGGCAAACCAACTCGGAAGTTCTCCGCCTGCAAAACCTGGATTATGCTGGCGCCAGCTGACAGCGTGATGCTGGCCACAGAGATTCCAAGCCCCTGCAACGCAACCACGACTGACGGATTCTTTTTGGACCTGGTGAGCTCTCGTATGTGAGAAGCTCCCCCATAAATGCACTACCTCAATAATGAATGGTACGAATCTGTTATCACATCCTATATCGGGAACATTTGGTAGTTTCCCAAAATAGGGGGACCCCAATATAGACCCCAAAATACTATAGTCCTTATTAAAGGGACCCCCAAAATGGTACCCCCCATTTGTTGTTATAGGGTTTGGTGGTTGTACAAGCGAGGGTAGAGGATTGATACCGTGGCACTGACTTGAGCTATACCGGAATCCTGTCGCCCGATGGGGGTTGCAAGGGCGGGTGCCAGGAGCAGCACGCAAGACATCCTAAAAGTTGGCATTTCGCAAGCCGAAGTCAGTGCAAACCACCGGCTGTCAGATTGATAGGATATTGGATGCCCGAAAAGTTTCTAATAGTTTCCATTTGATTTTCCATTAACTTTTTTTTACCCCAATATAACCCCAATATATACCCTATAATACCTTTGGTAAGTGCAGAAAATGTGCAGCATGGCAAGAGGGCCTTCTTCAGCGAGTATTGACCTCAGCTTTTCCTGGGTTGCTGTTAAGGAACTTAAATTAAGTTACCATAATGGGTATATATAGTAAATAGTAGGGTTTCCCCATTATGGTAACTTAAATTAAGTCCCTTAAAAGCAACCCTGTTTTCTGATGGTGATGGGCTGGAGCCTGAGACAGTCCTAACAGTTGCTCCATTCAGACTTACTGGAGGTTGGTATGCAATGGAGGAATGGACCCATATGAACGGCTACCTAAACTAATAGTAAATAGCTCACTAAAACTCGCTTCGGGGGGGCCCATTTCTTTACGGGGTTTTTGCGCGCTGCTGTCATTCATTTGGGTGGTATCACTTTGGGGGCGGGGCCCTATCGCTTTACTAGGGTTCGCTCATGCCCCTGGATTTTATCTCTGCCTGCTCTTGGCTCCTACACGATAATAAAATTAAAAGTGGCCGCTAATATGGTAATTTTCATGTAATGCGGTACTGGTGTCTGCAGCGCTTTCTTTCGTTGAAAATGAGCCGCCTTGCACTAAGATTTAAACAAGCTCGAAGCAAAGAGTTGAAGGCCCCTGCAGATGCTAATACACCGGGTGCTGCTTCCAGGCAGGAACAGTTGGATAATAATCATACTATAACCAGATACAGCCCTTAATTTTGCCTCTAGTATAAACTGTTTGGATAACATACCTGATGTTTTTATTCGCAGCCCTTAATATTTCCCCAGAAGACAGACTGTTGCTGGGTGGGCGCAGGACCCGGCAGGGTGCATTGCCCCGTTTGGTGCGTGTGCCAAGGAGCGGTCTTTGCGCCGCTGCCGGGATTCGCAAGGTTGGAAACTATCATGGGGGTTATGTATGGGCTTCCTAGAATGGTTATATAGGGCATATGGGGATAACTATGTACTACTTCAGGGGTTTGGGCTTAGGGTTGAGTGGGGACTAGGGTTGGAAGTATGACACCTACAAGGAGCACTTTTAGGGGATTCAAGGACCCTTCAAGGGTATATATACTAAGTAAATAGGGGCCGCATGGGCGCTTGCTTTTGACCTTAGTCTCACACCAAAAGGAGCAAGATGTTAGCAAGGATGTGACTGTAAATGACATGCTTTGGCCGTTCTGCATCGAAACCTTAATCATGACTGTGGTCGCAATTACGGAACCTGCTCGCATTTGGGAGCTTCTCAAAATACCCCCCCTTGGAATCCTATC